GGGGACGGGGTTGTGTAAGAGTGAGGTTAGGGGGTGGGAGGGGAAGGAGATGAAGAGGAAGAGGAAGAAGAGTAGGGGTGTTGTGAAGGTGGAAACGAAAGGTGGGGATGAGGAAATGACGGTGGAGATGGAGGAAGAAGTGGTGGAAGGGAAGGAAGAAGAGATACAGGAGGTCAAGAGAGAGGAAGAAGTTGAACGTTGATATATGATACAATATGTAATACTAGGTACATCGGGGAGTGGAAACAAGACGCAGCGGTCATAGTGGTGGACACTGGCACAAACTGCGATCGCAGTATCCCTCCTCCTCCTCCTCCTCCGGGCCACAATAACCACATCGATGGACAAACGCCGGTAGAGGCCCCCAAAACTTTTGCTCCCTAGCTCCGTTGCATGCATGGTGAGATCCAGCTCGAGAATGTTAGGAGTGTCAAATATTTCACACAGCAGAAGGCGTCAATCTGGTCAAGAGCTCCATGAGACTCGATCAGCGAACGCCAGATACTGCCAGATCAGGTCATATAGCTCATCCCACCTCAAACCACCCCGATCAGAGGTGGAGTCCGGGTGGAATCGATACCAAAGCCATACTCTATGGCCTCCGTAGGTGTTTCATAAACATCCAGAAATCCGTCATCGGTATCTGTCTCATCCCCTTCGTTCTCCTTTTGCATCGAAGCCATCCTCAAGGTCAATCTCGGACTTGCAGTTCGGAAAGGCAAAACAGTGTGTCGTGTCGCAGAAATAGGCGGTGAGTCAAGCAGATTAGAGGTGGGTGTCGAGAAGTGGCCTGGCGTGGGTGGCCCTCGATGTACTCCTGGATAGCGAAGCTCGTTGATCTGTTTTTGCAAGTCTTTCACCTGAATCTCCAGCCCCTGGCGTGCTTCTTGTTCCCGGCTTAGTATCGAGACCAGTCTAGCAAATTCGTCCTCGGAGGAATTCTGCTTGGAAAGAATAGAATGAGATGCTGCTGCGGTAGAATCATCAGCTTGTGCAGCTGTCCCCGGTCGAAGCGTGTTGGCCACGCTATTCCGATGCTCGTTAGCTTGGCGCTGGCTGTCGTCCGAGGTAGAAGAACTGGTGGAAAAGGAGTCGAAACTGGATTGAGGAATAATGTTGGGAGAGCTGCGAGACGACGCTTTGTCCTCTTGAGACAGCTCCCGCAACACCTGTGTCCTTCTGGGTCGCTTCCCCAATACCGCTCTTGGTGCGACCTCGTGACCCTGAAGATTAGCTATGGCACACTCGAGATCAACCAGTTTCACCTCGACGGTAGTGATCCTTTGTTCAACGCTAGCATCGACATTGCCAATCATCAAGCCACTGAAGTCGAAGCGCTTCGTAGGCGAAGTCGGAGTGTGCGATGACGTTGACCTAGTGTTTTCGACTCCCTTTTTAGCTTCTTGTCGACAGCTAATATAGGGAGGGATTGGAGTCTCAATAACGCTATTCCGCCAATATTTGATCTCGTCACTCAATCGCCGCTCTTGTGCTTGGAGAGTATTCTGTGATCGCGCCATGTCTCGTAATTCGTCAGCACTGCGCGATCTGCGTCTCACGCTATCAATGAAGCTTCTGTTTGTCGCCTTCTTGGAAGGTCTGTGAGTGGCAGCGTTGTCAGATTCAGTGCCCTGATGGTTCAAGGTCAAGCCAAGTCTTTGCGCTTCCTGGGATGAGAGCACAACGCTAGGAAGGCTGTTGCGTCGGCTGTACCCATCGATCAGAGGGCGAAAGGTCTCAACGCCAGTTTTGAGAGCTCTAGTTGGTTCTGGGATTACTATATTTGGTGCATGCGAGTTCAGTGCTCTACCTCGAATGAGCTCTTCAAAAAGGAGCGAGGGTTTCCGCAGTGCATGGTGATTAGCTGAAACCGGGTTGTTGGGAAGAGAAACGGAGTTCTGGATTGGTCAGCTTAGTTCAATTGCAAACAGAACACGATGGTGCACGGAAGGATGGAATCGGTGTCACCTACACTTCGCTGATCGTTGGTGCCTGTGAAGAGCGCATCTCTCCTGCGCTTGCTGCCAAACATCTTGCGGAAAGTCGCTCTTATACCCCCGTCCTTTCTCACGGATCCGCTTGACGGAAGGCTTGACATAGACTGTTGCGTGTTTGTCAATGCAGCTGACGTTCTGTTGCTATTGTTGTATGACCCAGAACCATCCAAAGCACGGTTCTCCTCCAAATGTTGCGGATTGAAGTCTGGTAATGCTGGCCCAGGACCTCTTGCAGGCCATGTATCTGTGTTTCCAAGAGAAGTCGGTGCCGTTTGGTATGTGTGCCCACCGTGATCAAACCGTGAACCTGGCTCATTGGGAATCTTGCGCGGAAGCGGCATTGGGCTGGAGATTTCAATCTTGCCGCGACGAATGGCGGCAGTCGTGTCTGCAGCCCAGGGCAGAGATGAAGCAATTGAAGCCTGTGATCTGTGGTTTGACGAGTGCATGACGAACAGTGTTGGTGGTACAGCTTGGGACCGTTGGGTTGCGGAAAGAAAGTCTAAGGGCGGTAGAGTTCAGGAGTGCATAACGATCTAATTTCTGCTGGCAGTTTGGCACAGCTGGAGGAAGGGAGACGCGGTGGTGAGGAATGTTATGGACTCGCTCATCCCTTGCTGGAGATAGTCAGCAAGGAGATTTGGGGGGGTGAGATATCAAAGGCTTGTAGTCTTGCTTACCTTGGCTTGCGTGCTTCCTCTCTGAATATCATACACCCGCTTCTCTCTCTCTTTCTCTCAGAAAGCGTTATGTGGAAAGGCTCATGCTCTGCACCTGCGAGCCAACACGCAGACTTCCCACTCTAGAAAGACATACTGAACATATCAGAATGTGAAAGAGAGCAGTATAATGAAAACGCCGACAGAGAAACCTAGGAAAAGACAAGGGAATGAATGGGGTGAGAATGGATTGTGTTCCGTTGATCAAGGACGATTGAAGTATCCTTGCTTAAGCATGCATACGAGGCAGCTGCCGGCTACTGCGAAGCCCCGCCCGCACATACAGTACGGGCTGGCTCGTTTCAGAATCCTCTGGAGGCTTGACCTCCAATAATTGCACCGAGAGGGGAAGCAGGGTCGGATGCTCGAGTATGAGGGTGGTTGTGATTGTATTGATGCTTGAATGAGATCAGCATATTTGAGCCAATTAGACTAACATAACTAGCTGACATTGAGGTGGTCAGGAACTGACAAGTCAGCGTGAAGGAGTTGCTGGCGGAGGATCACTTGGCCCGGGAGAGTGCCCAATGGCTTACTTCCCACCAACCACTCATCCTCCACCACGCCCTGTTCACCTCAGAGCAATGCCCTTAGATCTATCACATGTTGTTGATGCTGTCTTGATTCTGCGTTGTTCAGGAAGTTACAGCCTACAATGTTCAGCTGGCCCCGTTCCTCTCCACAATGATCATAGGCATGATCATAGGCATGTTCAGGCAGCCCCGCTCGCCGTTGCGCCCGGCAAGAGTCATCCTGCTTATCCTTGATATGGATGTCCGCGACCTGCATTGGCGATGCCACTATCCAACGGCCTCCTGGGCGCTGCGTCTGGAAGTGGCATAAGGCTCAATGCGCCTCCCAATGCGCCCCCCAATGCGGCAGCATCTTCGGTACCGTGCTCGGATGAATGTCCATTCTTCTCCCCCAATTTCCCTGACCTACAGATTTGGATGTCCGTGGTCGATGTTGAAACCTTCTTCGCAGCCTGTGACACGTCTTGTAAATCATAAAGGCTGGTGACACAAACGGTCCGACTGCCGCTGTTCCTTGTGTTCCTGGCTGTCAAAGCTGTCACTCCAATCAAGGAAGGCATTCAATAGGAAGGATGAATGTCATGACTGTCATTGGTAGTACAGCTTGAGGCTAGCACGGTCTGGCAGTATTTGGTGACCAGATTCCCGTACCCATATCTCTAACTCGTTGAAAGCAAAAGTTAAGGTTGGTTCAGAGCAGGGTCAGAAGATGCTGCTTCGGCTCAGTCGGCATGCTCTAGTCTGTTTACAGGATCACTCGGGAACTTATGCATCTCTGCAGTGAACTCAGGGACGGGTGATCTGCCACTGGCTGCCAATCCCCCAGACAAAAGAGTCTTTGGGTAAACCCCAACAAGCACTTCGGCCCCGAAGCTAGCCCTACGATGACACTATCATCATCCAGATAACCCGGCTCAGGCTGGTCTCGACCCCATCCTTAGCCGCGACTAAGATCTATGAAAGGATTGATATCTGCTTCTATCAACCCGCTTATCAGCAAACCGGATGATCTTGATGGATTGTACTGCGTAGACCGGTCAAGACTCGTGCTTGATTTGGAAATTGACTATGGTTAGACGCAGCCGTCTTCGGAAATAACGCCAGTGGCACCCAGGCTGGATGCATCCACATTCGGTGGCCTGACAAGAGATTGGAAGCCACCAACACCTCGCTTGCTGACTGTGACAAGGATTGTCTAACATCCTTGGGATGATCTTCATGACGGATCATCGTATCCCAAGGCTCACATTCGTTGCACGTCCGAGGTATCAGGATATCTGAGGTCGGCATGTTCTTCCAAGAAGCTCATCCATCGCTTCAGAAACGAGCTACCACTGCGAGAGCATGCGAAGCCCATGATCAGCCAGAGCTTCGGCATCCACGCTGATGTTGGCTTTACTTACCGGCTGACAGTCTCGGAATCTCCGATTACGCAAAGATGTCTTCTTGGTCTGGTCATTGCCACTGAAAGGATTGTCAATCATAGCAAAATGTTCACACACCATATGCTCACCATTTAATCTTCTCTTTTCTCCCAAGAAACCGACTTCTTTTTCGGGATTACTCCTTACCAGACTCACGATGACCGCCTCTTTCTCCCTTCCTTGAAACCCGTCAACGCTCCCGAGCTCAATTCCTGGATAACGCTCCTTCAATAGCGAGCTCAAAGAGGCCAACTGAGCATTGTACGGGGTAATGACCGCAATGTCTTCTGCTCTGACGCCCGCATCGATCAAATTGCCGACATGCATCTGCACAACCGCGGCTTCCATCTCGTTGCTTTTGCTGTCTCCAAGCATGGTTGATCTCTCTGCGACCAGGTGGTCCTCCATCCTCTCTGGAAAGTCTCCGCCTTGTGTGTCATAAAAGACTAGCGGTTCCCTAGTATCTTCCGTATCCTGAACCTCGTAAGGCAAGTCTTTCAACAACCTTTCTTTGACACTATCAGCAGCCACAAGCTTTGCTTCGTAAAGCTCATTCGATGGGAACCGCATTATCTTCTCATTCATGCGGTACTGTGTTGTCAGCAGTGTTTTGATGGAAGGTCCGTGGAGGCTCAGCAAGCGGTCAAACATTGTGGTCTCAAGTCTCATTGACCGAGCGGTCTCCTTGTCCTGGTCATTCAACCCCAGTCCTTGCAGCCGTTCATCAAGCGCAGTTCCTACAGTCTTAGCCACTGACTTCGTCTTAATGTTCAAGCTTTTGACCGTCGGTGGAAGTTGGAGATGGTCTCCTGCTAGCACCGCTTTCCTAGCGCTCAGTAGGGGAATCCAGCACTGTGCCTCCAGCGCTTGACTGGCCTCATCAATGACTACCACATCAAATTGCTGAGTGCGAAGCTGAAACCCTCCTGCACCATGCAGAGTTGCCAGTACCACCCTGCTCGCTGTCAGCAAGTCGTTGACACATTTTCCTTCTCGCTCTCGATACTCCTTCCGCAGTCCTTTCAGGTCGGCATAGATCGCTCTCCTTTCTCTTCCATTTCTGGTCTTCTTGATGCTAGCTTGCTTGTCGTCCATTTCCTTTCTCACATCTTGTACAATTACTGCCGCCTCAGAGGTCCTTGTCAGCACCTCAAGCGAGTGATTCATTACTGAAGGAAGCAATCTGGCAGGATGTCCCAGCCGCACGAGAGTCACCTTGTGTGGAGACAAGCGTTCGACGATATTATCAACCGATATATTAGAGGGACCACAAACCAGGATTCGAAGGTTTTGCTTCAACATCTGCAGTATCAGCTCAATCAGCGTGTGAGTTTTACCTGTTCCAGGCGGTCCATGAATCAGAGCGATCTCCGAAGAAGAGAGTGCGAACTTGATTGCATGCTTTTGAGAGTCATTAAGCGAAGGGTCGAGAAACTGTACATCCTGGAGAGTGGATGGGTTCGGTGATACTGGAGCAGATACTCCAAACAGCACTCGCATCAATGGCGTATACTCAGATTCGGTCATCTTAGAGATCTTGGTCATGACTTGGTTCATCCTTCAGAGGCAAAGATTCAATACTTGTGCCGATGAGGCATGGCAGGGCCTTCCACTCACCTCTTGTAAGTAACATCGTTGGCCACCTTGACTCTGTGTACATCCATATCAGCATTCCAAAGACCCGGTGGGTCCCGTGTGCCTAGACCTACAGCCATAGCTTTCCGCTCGGGATATCAACATCCTCGTCGCCGCCTGAGCCCTTGCCCAGTGCGACCCACACAGCTCTCTCGCCGACCCTCGTAACCACGCCTTCGACTCCGTTGCCTTTCATCTCAGCTTTCTCCTTCTTTTTCGCCCCACCACCCGGCTGCTCGCCCAGTCTCACTATATCTCCGGTGCGGATACCATGTTCCGGAAGATCTGACCCGCCTCTCTCCGCCGAGGCGACAGCAGGGTCAAGACCAAGCTCAAGTATCGTCTTTCCACCCAGACCAGTCCGCTGTGACACAGGATTGAGATTTAGAATGGCTAAGCCAGCTCGAGCAAGAGCAGTTGGTGAGGCCTCGGACAGCAGAAGCGTTGTTTCGGCAACCTCTGCTGACTGCTCTGTGTTAAGTAGGGATAGCTGAGCTTGCGCAAAGGCAGCTGGAGAGAGCTTCGCTGGTTTAATAGGCATAGTCCAATAGAGAACAGGAGCAGGTTCAAAGATAGATGAGTTAACTAGAGCTTATGATGGAAGCGGATTGTGCACTCTCGTTGTTTCAATTTCAGCATTCATACACGTTCTGCACCCATTTTGGATTTATCCCCCGGGTCCGAATAATTGTCTCCACCAGCTCTTCACAAGTTTAGCCTCTAATGACACGTTAGGTTCCTGACAGCAGCCTATTGTGTTCATAACATGACCATATAGCTTCTGGGACAAGCCAGCGATCGGATCTGCTTCATAGAGTAGAGAGACATCCAAAAGTCGATTCAGAATGAGGGTGTGCCAGACCCGTCACGGCCGGATATTTGACACTGAAGAAGCTTTGTTGTACTGTGCATGATTGCGAAAGTCTTGCGAAAATTTGGCGGTTGTGCAGAGTTACTGGCGCGCGCCGCGCTCTCAAACAGAAACAGTCCTGACAAGCCTTCTACATATTGAGATTGAATAAATTCTACATTGAAACAATGCTGCACTTTGTCTGGACCTTTTGATATAGATTTTTGATTATATAGGATTCTATCGAAGAAAGTAAAATTTACTAGTTATGTAAAGAATCAACTTTATCAATTAGAGTCGATATTACTGTTTTTTATATATCAGAAAAATCAGACAGAGCTCAGTAACATTTGATATAGAAAATATTTAACCAGTCTATTTATGGAGTCCCTATGGGCTGTTTCTGTTCGACGACGCGGGCGTCAGCAATTTTCGATACTATGCCAAGGATTCGCAACACTTTCGCAACGCACCAGTAATTGCCCCTGGAGTACGGAGAGGATTCTTCCTCAGGTACAATGTCAAAGACATAGGTGAACACCCTTCGAAAGCCGCAAGGAGCTGACCTCTCTCACCGTGCACAGCAGCATCGACTGCCAGCGAATACGCCCTTGTCAGGAGATGTCACGGAGCTCACTCTCTTCTATTCTTCCTCCTGCATCGGAACGCAAAGGTCCCCGGCTGCTTACGCCCACAACCAATGCCATTCCCTTCGTTTCGGTCAAGCATGTACGTGATTACTCGACATTACACACTGTGGCAGTCGCAGTGCTCTTCCTGCTCCAGTTCCGAGCTCTAGTTGCTGATCCCTACCGGATCATGCTCTGCGACCTGTGTCTGCTCATTCCCTTGCAATCTGCATATTGTGTCGCATGCCTACCGCCTACCGGAACATGGGCCAATACCACCACACACAGCAGCGGCAACGAGGCAGCTGGCAGTGGGTCAGGGAAGTTGAATAAGGGCAGTGGGGTTGGCAGCATGCGAAAACGGCCTGCAGGTCTAGGAAGAAGTGGCGCTGCATCAGGAGGGTGGAAGGGGAAGGCCATGGTACTTGATTTCAACTCTTCGGATTCCCAGTCCCAATTACTAATGAAGTCGCTCGCATCAGCCTACCATCATTGCTCTTGCCCTAGCTATGTTGCTGCCTCCGATCCCGCTGACAGTGCTCGCACATGTCCTTGGCGCCCCTCTATATCCGATAGCTCTCATCCTCAACACAGCCGTGTTGTCCTTACACATCTCACTTCTCACCTGTATGCCCCTCTTCTACTCGCATGGCGTTTCGGGACCAGCATGGCGCGATATCATTGCGGCGTGGTTACCCTTCGACGAACCCGGGGTTTGGGGAGGTAGTGTTGGGTGTTTCGTCGGAGGTTGGCTGGGGGCCATTCCAATTGCATTAGACTGGGACAGAGACTGGCAAGCATGGCCGATTACAGTATTGGTAGGCTGCTATGGAGGATGGGCGGCAGGGAAGACATTGCTTGGCCCAATTTTCTTAAAAGGAAGAAGGATAGATATGAGTGTTGGCGCGGAACATGGAGCCATTGCGTCACACCCAGATGCCAAAAACGGGGACAAAAAGTCACGATAGCACGATATTCAAAACAAACTGCTGAAATCTTTCTACCATCTTACTGCATACAAAATAGACCCATCAAATATCGCATGATACAAGGGCGCTAAATCCTTCGCTTAAGCGCTGTCGGCAAATGTGATATGGTTTATCCATGAAAGTGATTTACTTTCATGACAGGCGATCAGCCGATGTACTACGTAAGACACAGTCGGAAGATGCAGGCAAGCGATCAGCATTCGTTTGAAACAACGATGCGCGGTTTCAATCAAACTGTTCGCGCAACCCATGGTTGCGGTTACAGGGTTCAGGCATTAGGGATACCAATGATTTTGGAAGAACGATATTAAATTTTTCTCAGCAATCTACTCGCTTGTCACTCGCTGAGCATCTCCTGAGGAGGTCCCCTGCCCTGGCTTGATGAATTTCTAGCACATTAAATGTTTAGAGCTAGCTTCATGTAGTTAAGTATATAGCAGGGATCCATCTTCAACCCAAGCCTGTGAGAAGCCTATATGCTTTTCCGTTGTCGATCATTGTCCATTGATTTGCTAAGTTCCTTAAACCACATTTTGCAGGGAGCGAGTGGCGGAAATTCGCATTGGGTAATCGATGACAGGTCGGTCAAATGGTTGAGGTCAAGCCTCAACCTCCCCATTTCTCGCGTAGCGGGCTCCACTACGTGCGTCTGCAGCCGAGCCAGCAATTGAATCATGCTCCCACTGTTCTGCTTCTCCTTTCCTTGCGTACTCCTTCCGTCTTTCCCTAAGCACTTTCTGCTTTTTCTCCCATCCACTGCTTTCACTCGTTACAAGCGACAACGACAACCGTCACTCGTTCGTGTTGTTCTTGAAAAATAAATAAAGACATTGTAATTCCTTTTCAACCACTTCAATTAGCTTAAGTTTGTCGCTCTCCAATCAAATTCAATCAATTCTCAGTCGCCGGATTGTTTTGCCTGCCCTTTTCTTTATCACTCATCGAACATCTTTCATAATGAAGACTATACTCCTATCTGCCGCCGCAGTGGTTGCTGGTGCCAGCTCTGCGTTGGCCGGCATCGCTCCGCTTCAACCACGTCAGAGCAGTCTCCCTGCCATTGAAGTTAGGGGCAATGGTGAGCCCACAACATGAGCTTTGAAGGCACATTTGCTAACCAAAGTTAGCCTTTTTCGCTGGAGATAATCGCTTCTATGTTAGAGGTGTTGATTACCAACCTGGTGGTTCTTCAAACCTCGTCGATCCCATTGCCGATATCGAAATCTGCAGGCGAGATATTGCCAACTTCCAGAAGCTTGGGCTCAATACAATCCGCGTTTACACAGTCGACAATACCGCTGATCATGATGAGTGCATGACCGAGCTGGCCAATGCTGGAATCTACTTGGTCTTGGACGTTAACACACCCAAGTACTCCATCAACCGAGCCGACCCTGAAATCTCGTACAACGACGTGTATTTGCAAAGCATTTTTGCCACGGTAGATGCCTTTGCCAAATACACAAACACCCTTGCCTTCTTCTCCGGCAATGAGGTGATCAATGATGGCCCCACTTCTGCTGCAGCACCCTACGTCAAGGCGGTCACCCGTGATCTTCGTCAATACATTGGTTCCCGTGGCTATCGCAAGATTCCCGTTGGCTATTCTGCTGCAGATGTAGACACCAACAGACTTCAGATGGCTCAATATATGAATTGTGGTACGGATGACGAGCGTTCCGACTTCTTCGCCTTCAACGACTATTCATGGTGCGATCCATCCTCTTTCCAACAGTCTGGGTGGGACGTCAAGGTCAGAAACTTCACCGGTTATGGTCTCCCACTTTTCTTGTCTGAATATGGCTGCATTGAGGGTGAACGACAATTCGACGAAGTTTCTACTCTCTACTCAACCCAGATGACAGGTGTTTACTCTGGCGGCCTTGTCTACGAGTACTCCGAGGAGGGTTCAGGCTATGGGCTGGTGACCATCGACGGCACCTCGGTAACTGAGAATGGTGACTTTGCAGCTCTCTCCGAAGCTCTTTCTGGTGCCCCAAACCCCCCAGACGATGGAGGCTATAACGCTACTGGTGGCGCTTCCGGCTGCCCTGAGAGGGACTCTCCAAATTGGGACGTGGCAAATGATGCACTCCCTGCCATTCCCGAGCCCGCCATGAAGTACATGACTGAAGGAGCTGGAACAGGTCCTGGCTTGACCGGTCCGGGCTCGCAAAACTCTGGGACCCGATCTTCCGGCACTGCTACACAGGGAAGCGGACAGGTGACTTCTACCGCTTCAAGTAGTGCCTCGGGCGCTGCCGGCGGCCTTGTTGTTCCAGAATTCTCCTGGACTCCCATCATCTGTATGTCCGCGATGTTGCTGTCCACCTTCTTTGGTGCTACTCTACTGTAAAGGGACGGTGGTTTGAGCCTGGTCAGGGTAATTGTACAGTGTAAACTGGGGGATCCTTCATCAAGCAAGCGTGTGGTTTTCTGGTTCTTGATTCAATGTGCATAGTGACTTTAGAAGCACTTCGTTTCTCCGCTCGGTTGAGAGCTAGTTGCGCAATCGTTGGCTGGTGTCTGTCAATCACATGCTGGTGACGAGAAGAATTGATGGCACGCGAGAACATTTTAATACATGATGCACCCAATACTTGAATAGAGGTTTCCAACTCCGGCTTTTACCATTCAACGCTGTAGCCGAAAAATCACAGAAGACGCATTTCAAGAGAATTACGACTCTGGGATAAATGCACCCACTTCAGACTCACGGGAAACACCGTCTATGCTAGCTCCATTGAGTGTCTCTGGTCTCCGATCTGCGGCTGGGGCTGCGGCTCACCTGAAAGTACTTGTCTTGTGTGCGTTGTGCGCTACCCATGGAAGCTTGACCCGAGTCTGATAATTAAGTTGTGAATGACTGATCTTGTATATATCTATATCATGGTAAGATTGGGGCGCGGCGTCCACATGCGTCATGCAAGACTCATAGGAGCAATATACCGAGCTATATATGCACAACTCGCCTGCCTCCCCCCCCTCTCCCTACACTTTCCAAGGTCCATCCCACCACTTCCGCCTATCCACCAACCTCCCCTCCACATTAAACTCCACCCCTTCCCCCCTCAACAGCTCCAACTTCTTACCCTGATTGATGCCGCTGGGCGCCTTCTCCCAGTCGCCCATGAACCCGCCGACGAAGCCGTTGGCGGCGATGACACGGTGGCAGGGGACCTCGGGTGCGAAAGGGTTGTTGCGTAAGGCGCCACCGATGGCGCGCGGCGAGGTCTGGAGGGCGCGCGCCAGGCTGGCATACGACGTTATCCGGCCGGCGGGGATCTGGCTGAGCAGGGTGTAGACGCGCTTTTGGGGAAGGTTAGCTTTTAGGGGGAATGAAGCGAATGTAGGGGATGATCGGAGGAGATATGAAGGAAAGGAAAGGATCGTGAAAATTGAGGATGTACTTCTTGAAATTCTGTGACTGTCATTTTTCTGTTGATGGCTTTTCTGGAGTTTGATCTTGTAGTATGCGAGGAAGGATAGGGTAAGTTGTTATGGATGATAACTTCAAAGAATGAAATGAGACATTGGAAAGCAGATCGTCCGACATACAGACACGTTGTCAGAGGGCGTGTAGAGTGGTCGACACGAGATCACGTGCTGAGCGGGTGGAATTGATGAACAGCACCTGGCTGCTCCAACAGCAAGTCACATTATTCTTCTTACTGGATGCACACTGATCAGACCGATCTGACAAGAAGTACGCTGCTGGCAGCCCAGATAGAACTCATGGTTGAATACAACTAGAATGACCGAATTGGTCGCTGAGTTTCTGGTGCGATGGTACCGAATTTGTGCCTGGACGAGATGTTCCCCATTCTTAGAATGGTTGGCTGGGACGAGGGGAAGCGGGGATGAAAACCAAAATGGAGGATAGCAGGAAGGAAGATCTTGGGCCTGTCGATCTTGAGTGAGCTCGGTTAAGGCGGCAGTTGTGAGCGTTGGGGATGAAGTCACGAGGACCAGTTGCAGCTATGCCCAAGCTGGCTACAAGCCTGGCCCAAAGGCCCGAAGGCCCCAGCCATACGTACTAACTAACCTGCTCGTACCTCTTGGGATGTGGCTGGGGGCTGGTGGAAGCACAAGCTACCATATTTGGCCCATTGTAGACCGCCTGGCCGGCGCGTCGGTACCTCACCTGATCAGTGGATCAAGGTACTATGTACGGAGTACTCCGTAGAGTAGGCAGTGCCTGAGAAAAGAAGGCCAAGTGGCGTCACTAGTAGTACCAGTTACTAGTACTTAGTAGAAAAAAGAAGCAGGCGCAAAGCCAAGCTGATGATGGCCCAAACCCAAAAAGTGACCCACAGAATGACGATGGGATGGAGAATGTTGTTTTCATCTCGAGAATTGACCACTAAACAGGGCAAACACCCTGCATTCTCCGACTGACTTACTTGCTACATACGGGCTGAGATCGTCCATCACCACCTGCATTGGCCTCCAGTTTCATATCGTCAAGCTTTTCTTCTCCAAGCATGATGACGGAGTTCTCTCCCGCACGCTCACATCTAATATAGGTAATATTCCCTCCTTTCACACTCGTTGCTCTCCATTGAGCACTGAGCACTCTTCACTCGTTTATGCCAGCCTGTACGGAGTACTCCGTATACGGTCTCTGTATCTGCAGCCACCCCATGTGCATCCGTCCGAGCTAAAAATAGCTGTACCCTGTTGCGGCTTACACCTGCAGCTGGTGTCTATGCTGTCTAAATCTGGTCAGGCCAGTGTTCCATTCTTCAAGCTCCAGCCTCGCCACCATTCTTCGTGTTCCCCCAATTGTGGTTGGCGCCCCTCCCGCAACACTGAAAAAACTTACATCCGACTGATCCTGTCGTGTTCTGCTATTTACATTATGCTGACTTCCGTGCTCATGTCGCACCGAACAGTTGACCGATAGCTCCACCCAAAATATATACGCTCCATTATCCATTCCCCGCGCCCCGGCTAAGCTGTACAACCGAGAACAAATCTCTCGACCTCACCGACCTTCGTTGATTGCTGTCTTCATCACAGAAGTATGATGTTCCTGCCGCAAACATTGGTGCTCAGCACCCTATTCCTCTCTGCTCTCTCATCCCCAACCCGTCCAGACCAGCAGCAGCAGCAGCAGCGGCACGAACAAGAAGCAGCACCAACACATGGCCCAGCTAGGCTAGAAGAATTCCAGGCCCTCCTCGCCGAGGTAGACGAATCCTCTATCCACTCCGCTCTCCACCTCTGGTCCTCCAAGTTCAAAGACGGCGTCTTCTCCCACGACCGCAAAACCCCGCCCCTGGCCACCTCACTCCTCCACATCGCCAAACGCCAAAGCAACAACAACACCACCACCGCTCCCAGCAGTCCAGAGCCTTCTACCGCTTCACCAACCGAGTCAGACTCGCCAACTTCCCAGTCAGACTCGCCATCTCCATCTTCAGATTCCCCATCCTCCCCATCCGCAACAGAAGAAACCCAATCCCCCGCCCCTCCCCCCCAGACATCCGACGGCGTCATCCTCCCTGTCTCCTCCCGCACTACCGCAACGCGCGCCCCAACCACGCAAGCCGTGCCCGTTTCGACCCCACCCTCTGCAACCCCCATCGCAACCACCGACGGCCGAGTCGTGTTTTCCGTTTCCGCCGCAGCCGGAAGCAGTGGCAACAGCGGCAACAGCGGCAGCAGTAGCGGTACCGTGGCAGGTGGCCTAGTGACCGTTGAAGCATCCTCAGAACTCGTCTCCTTCTCCCCGTCTAGCTCGACGGTTCTATCCACCTTCACACTGCCGGACGGGCGTCTCAGCACACAAACCTCAGTAACGGTGGTCGATGCGCCCGTCACAGGCGGCGGTTTGGGGGCGCACCAGCCGCGACCGGTACCGGTGGAGGCAGCAATCCCAGTTTACAAGAGGGCGTGGCAAGCGCGACCAGAGGCGTATGGAAGGAGGTCGTGGCTGTGGTTGGCGGCGCGGTGGTGATAGCTTTGGCTATGTGAGCTGGGAATCGGAGATGGGGTGATTTTTTGCATATCAAGATCTTACATTTGTGAATATGAAACTGGGATGAGATGATTGAATGGATGGGTGGATGTGATAGTGGATGAGTAATGGATGGATGGGGATGAATCTCCCACCAATGGTCTCTCCTTGAAAAGAAAAATCAGGCATGCATAGCTCGGCGTCTTATTCCCCCCCTTCCCATTGGTTTTCTCTTTTTTCCTTTCCTCTCTCTTTCGTGTCCAGTGCAAACAGTTGATTCCAGCTCAGCTCAGCCCAGCTCAGTCCAGCTTAGCTTCGCTTCCTATACGCAGCGACACGTTGTAGATAGTCACTCAGTCGCAATCCAGTGCTTAATCAGGCGGGCATGGTACTTGATTTCGACCTGAGAAATTTCCCCCTTCGATCCCTGGCGGTAGTACATAGCTTCGGTAGTAGTTGGCTATTGGCTCCAGAGCGGAAAATACTACGTAGGAATAGGAAGACGTCCGTCAGTCAGTCAGTCGCAATCATCATCGCACTTACTGATCAATCTCTTCTACATTCATCAAGTTTCCTTGCCCTGCTTACCTCGCTCCTACGGTGTGAATCAAAAATCACGTTCGTAATTCGCGGGAAATGGTTTGAGTGTCTTCTCTGGAAAGTCGAGACGAGGTGTTGGGGTCTACGGAGTGCTTAGCTAGCTAGTATTTGTATGTGTATGACGGAGGGAGGATGGCAGTGTCTCCATCTGGCTGTGTGTGAGGGTAGTGAGATGGGACGGTCTCGGGGACAAGCCATGGGTACTGGCTTTCATGGTCTGGAGACCTCGTTTGTCCCTCTATATTGCAAGTTCCTGGCCGTGTCAATGGCCTTCGTGTCGTTTGTGAAGCAACAACTTCCGTCCCTCGATCCCTGCTTCCATCCCTTTGAAGCCCAAGCTAGCAGCCCGCATCCGTACGCCTCGCTGGGTAAGGAGATCTTCCGTTTCAGTGTACCAATGATCACCTCCCTTGTCTTTTTCTTTCTCTGCTAGGATTGCTTGGGTCTGTGTCATCCTCAAATCTGCATAGGTGCTGCTCCGTCCTTGAAGTTGTCGCCACTCCTGCTACTCTTGATGATCCGAGTCACTGTCTCTTCCAGCTCATCCCAATCGTCCGTCGCCACCTTCTGGATGTCCGATCCGAAATATTTTTGAATGTCCATCAATGCCAGCCAATCCTGGTGGTTACTGACAAACGTCACTGCAACACCTACACGTCCGAAGCGACCCGTGCGCCCAATCCTATGCAGGTACGTCTGAGGGTCCGGTTCGAATCGCTTCGTCGTAGCGTTAGGTTGCGTGGGTACGTCGTAATTGATGACCATGCTGACGGATTGCACGTCGATCCCTCGAGCCAGGACATTGGTTGTAATAAGCACTTTGGCGTGGCCCATGCGGAAGGAATCGATGATAGTGTCACGAGTCGCGCCGTCAAGCCCGCCAGACAGGGAGACGACTTTGTGGCCTTCCGAGGTCATGCGCTGTTCAAGCTTTGTGGCGGTATCACGGGTCTGAAGAGAATATTTATTAGCAATTGTAAAGCAGGATGGGGTATGCCTGATCTTATGTGTACCTTAACAAAGATGATCGAGGATCCGATTGTGAGAAGCCCATAGAACCTGACTAGAACTTCGAATTTGTCCTCCTCACTGTTGCAATCTAGATAGATTTGTTTGATACCTTCGACGGTTAAGTCTTCGTGCTTCAGCGTCATTTCATTGGCATTGGGTGCGAATCTGCCGGCAAATTGAACGACCGCTTGTGGAAATGTGGCAGAAAACAATACTACTTGCAGATCTTTTCGTGTGAGCATTCTATTGAAATGTCAGAACCAGGCACATAAGAAAGAAACAGCCGGCGAAACCTCACCCTTTGACACGGATGGACTGATCAGTCAGCCCGCCTTGATCAAGCATGTTGTCAGCTTCATCAAGGACTAGAATCTTTACCCCTCTTGAGTCAAGCAGTCGTCTTCGAAGCAGATCTACCACTGTTCCCGGAGTCCCAACCACGACAGAGCCCTCCATCTTACGGCCTCGCGAAGCTGTATCTACCGGTACTGCAATCTCAACGTTCAGATTTGGGAGGAACGAGCCCATCACCATTATAACACCTTTGATCTGACGAGCTAGCTCGCGCGTAGGTGCGAGCACTATAGCTTGAGGGGTCGCAGCTTGCTGAGGTGTATCGAGTTCGAGGCGGCTAAGGATATTGAGGGTGAACGCTGCTGTTTTTCCAGTTCCTGATTGTGACTGGCCAATAAGGTTTCGGGGTGGGTTCATCATCAGAAGTGGAAGTGTCTTCTCTTGCACTTTTGACGGCTTGCGGAAGTTCATCGAGTAGATGCCCTTGAGAATCTCGGGTTTTCTGTGACTAAGGTTTTAGTCTTAAGATTCCCACTTTCACCTCATTCCACTCACAAGTTGAGCTCTTCGAAGGTTGACACCGAGTACAGGGGGTTGTTAGGATCTGCCTGCAGGTCGGCAAGCTTCACTTGAACAGAAAATTCTGGCTCCTCAAGGACTGACCCATTAAAGGGGGTTGTAGCGCCGTCACTTTGAGGCATGTTTGGTGGTTTTGATGGCTCTGCAGGAGGCGTCTGTGTAGATGATTTTTCAGTACTCTCTAGTGGTAGAGAGCTCTCTGCCAAAGGGCTGATTGGCGAGTCAGTCTCTTCTGACCAGAGTTTTCCCGACTTTGGCTGAAAGGGTGTTGCGGTGGCACTCAAGTCATTGGCGACAGGAGGATCGGGTTTGCTAATGCGGTCTGCAAGTGTGTTACCGTTGGAGGCGGTGTTCTGCTCTCCTGATGTCATGGCGGAAGGGCGATCCAAGAAGGACTGTGTGTTCCAGAGTTAGAGTGAATAGAGGTGTGTTCTGTTTAATGTGTTATGGATTGTGGGAGAGAGTGAGGGCTATTTTGAGACGGTACAACAATTCGATCTGTAAATAACAGCTGACATCACACCAAATTCAAGCCATGTCAGTCTGTTGCACGAACTATGTGGTACAAATACAATCAATTCTGCATTGAATAGCTATTGTCGATGCCGGGTACTTCCAACGAGGGGCAAATTATGAATCTCTATCGTCGAAGCGCCCCAGACGCCTTTAGCTTGCGGCTCTGTTTTAGGCTTTAGACCACCCCGGAAATGGCGTCCGCAGGCTGATCCTTACCTGGAAACGGCGATCCTTACACAAAATTCAGCTAACAGGTTGTTATCGAGAACAGCTCTACTTTCGCCTCTGCTACGTCTCTGGAATGCAATGAGACACGGTTTCCTTGCAGAGTAAAGTGATGCGTGCTTCATCCGCAGCATTGAGCTCGTAGCTCATTGCTGCACGAACCATAGACGCAACTCTCTGGCTACTAGTAGTACTTTTATTCTCTTTAAATCAATCGAGGAAGCTAGAGCAAGAGCTTTTGGCAACTGCAAGTTCGCACAATAGCGAATTATGCCCGTTCTTTGAGAAGGACGGCATGATTGTTCGCCTGCTATTAATTGGCCTCAGAATAATTACCGGGAAAGCATTGAGGGGCCAGGCATGGCTCGGGCTGCTGCGCTGAACCCCACACCAAATGACCCTCGCACCCTAAATAGATACTCACACCATGGATAGTGTCTGCGTAGTCAGCTCAGATCTTTTGACTCTTCAAGAGAGTATAACCCTGAGGCATACCTTTTACGCAAAAGACTACGAACGTTTGATGGAGCTCCAAGCTCATGACGGCCTACCCTAGACTTCATTACCAGGGTTCTCGAAAGCATGGCCCATGCAGAGACTGTCAGCTTTGGCGCAGAGCTCAAAGTATGCACTTGAACCGTCTCGCCTAACACCAAGTCCTACTAATCCATAGCTTTAGGATGGGTACAAGTCAACCGATGCCTGGGTGTGTTCAATAGTACAATCCGGCTACCTTTCAAAAAGTTGACAAAAGCTCCCCCAGGTCGCCCACGGGATTCAATGGCTGGAGGATATCGAGCAGTTTTATCGCGAGCGAGCCACCATCGAGAAAGATTACAGCGCAAAGTTGAACGGGTTGGCTAAAAAGTATTTCGAAAAAAAGGCAAAGAAATCGAGCAGTCTCAGTGTTGGTGAGACACCTAGCATGACACCAGGCTCCTTGGAATCTGCGTCCTTGACCACATGGACAACCCAGTTGTCTACCCTTGAGATCTGCGCCGCCGAGCATGATAGATTCAGCCAAGACCTGGTCGGTCAGGTAGCCAAAGCTCTCGAGGTTTATAGAGCACGATTTGAAGAGTTGAGGAGGAGTCATGCCGATTATCAGACGAAGCTTCTCAAGGAGAGGGACTCTTCTTACAGTGAATTGAAGAAAACGAAGACAAAGTACGACAGCATCTGTCAGGAAGTTGAGAATCGACGGAAGAAGACTGAATCATCCTTCGATTATGGCAAACAAAAAGCACAGAATGCCTATCAACAACAATTGGTTGAGATGCACAATCAGAAGAACACTTACCTGATAGCAATCAACGTTGCTAATAAGTTGAAGGAAAAATACTACCATGAATACGTTCCTGAGCTCCTTGACTCCCTCCAAGATCTATCAGAGACTAGGGTTGCCAAATTGAACTCTGTTTGGACGCTTGCGGTGAATCTCGAAACGACTGCTATGCAACGAAGTAAAGAACATCTAGATCACTTGTCAAGAGAGATACCACATAACGATCCTTCATTAGACAGCATGATGTTTGTCAGACACAATACGACACAATGGACAGATCCACCAGATATGGTATTCGAGCCCAGTCCAGTCTGGCTGGACAACGAGTCGTTGGCTGTTGACGAGGCGTCCAGAACTTTCCTGCGCAATATGCTGGCAAAGTCGAAGCCGCTCGCGCGAGAAATGAAAGCTGAAATTGATAAGAAATCCAAAGAGGTTGAAAATATAAAACGTATTAGGCAAAGCGTTCGAGAAGGGAGAGACAAACGTGACGAGGCTGAGCTCGTGAAGTCATTATTCTATGTATCTGAGGAAAAGCATGCCATGGAGAGGAAGCGCTTGACTGCAGAGATTGAAGTTTCCACAATCACTGCCGTAGTTGGCGACCTCAGTCTTGGAGCTAAGAATCACCCGTTCAAAGCTGAAACATTCAAGATCCCAACGAACTGTGACTTGTGTGGAGATAGAATCTGGGGGCTTTCGGCGAAAGGGCAGCATTGCAAAGATTGCGGCTTTACCTGCCACAGCAAATGCGAGATGAAGGTTCCAGCTGATTGTCCAGGTGAGCAGTCAAAGGAGGAGAAGAAGAAATTGAAAGTAGAGAGACAAGAAGCCGCACATGCTGCAATGGCCGTTGAGGTTACCAGTCCCAACACCAACCGCCATCCCGCCTCAGGTGGTCTGGCGCGGCAGGACACGATGAGTTCTTTGTCATCGGGATACGCAACCAGCGCACAACGATCTGTGTCAGGATTACCTCCGCGATCGGCAGGCTTGGGAGCGGAAGAGTCTGTAGCCCAGCCCAGATCTCCCATAGATCCCGCTCCAGCGTCAAAGCCAGCTCCAGCACGAAGAAACCGTGTAGTTGCGCCTCCCCCTGCGGCTTATGTTTCAGCTCCTCCACCTGAGCCCACTTCTTCAGATGGGCCCAGCCGAGCACGTGGCAAAATGATATACAGCTATGAAGCTCGAGATGAAGGAGAACTGTCGGTAAAGGAGGGAAAAGATGTTACTATTATAGAACCTGATGGTGAGAAAATACGAATTGACGGTACTGCTCTGCTAACAACTGACCAGATGGGGGTTGGACCAAAATCAAGGCTGGACTAGGGCAGGAAGGTCTGGTACCCACGGCATATATCGAAGAGTTGGCTCCGGAGCCCGAAGCGTCTTCCATTGTGGAGCGACCTGTTTCAGTCTACTCTGACAGCTCAGCAACCTCCACAAATATTGCCAAGAAGAAAGGGCCTGCAGTAGCCCCTCGACGAGGAGCAAAGAAAATCAAGTACTGTGAAGCTCTCTATGCTTACACCGCCCAAAGTGATGCAGAATTTGACATGCAAGAAGGTGACCGATTCGAGTTGATTTCCATGGGAGGCGGAGACGGCTGGGCGGATGTCGCGAAAGGTGGAGAGACCCGAAACGTTCCAGCCAATTACATACAGGAATTATGAGGTCAAATCGTCATTTAGCGTGGGCGCCTGGATGTTCCGTGGCCAGAAATGATCCACCGCCATTGAAAGAATATTTTAGACACCCAGATCATCGTGCTGCCGAGAAGTCTCCTGCCAAGGAATGAGTGTACAGGGGAAACGAAAATGCATTGGTGATCCAGTGGAAGGAAGTTGGCCAGGGTCGCTTATATTCAAGCGTGATGTTGAGCATGGATGAAGAGAGTGATGAGCGAAGATGGGTCTACCGCGGATGTGATTATAGGACCACGTTGCAAATGCGACGGCGTCATCACGAACCACACCATTATGCACAAAAAGACTTCATCGCTGAACAGATGACTGTTTTTTGTTACCTGCAGACGGAATTTTCAATTTGACTGGGCTGGTAAGCGACCAACCCCGAGCTTGTCCTTGTGCGTCGTATCGCCCAAAGGTACAAGCTTCTGGCCCTGTGCACATACTATTGTCCATGCACGGCGTGAACAACACACCTTTGGAATTGGACAAGATCTCCTCTCAGCCCCTCGGCCCTTGACTGCTAGGCGCGGACCGCTATTCCCGGGGATCTTGTTTCATTTTCCGCGTTCCTGTGTGCCTATTGACGCTTATGCAGGAAATCCCTTAGCTAGTTGCGATTCTTGCAAGTGGCCAACCGAAATTCTGCCTGTTGGGGGCCACAAGCATCAGCAGGTGTGGATCTCTTGCTCGAAGTCCTTCTTTTCGATACTAGAAGGTTGGGGCGGCTTGTCCAAAAGCGGACTTGCTCTGGCTCTTGATAATCTCAGGCATCTTTCAGGCAGCCAAACACCACATTCTGACAGTTAACAGATTGAGAGCAGGATTTTCAACAAGAAAACATTGGACAAGTTCCATGATGAGGATCTCCAAATGTACCTTTGCGGCATGTGGGAAGGTAAATTTGAGCCGCCTTCTTGTGCACATTCAGTTCTTACCAGCAGCAGACTTTCACTCGGAAATCGGATCTCATACGGCACAGCAGGATTCACACAGGCGAAAGACCGTATCCTTGCGAAGAAGAGGGCTGCTATAAGGCCTTTGCTCAAAAGGGTGGCCTCCAGTCACATAAGGCATTTCATAGTCGAGAAAAAAAACATCAGTGTACCAAGTGCAATAAATCGTTTTCCGATGTAGGTCCGTCTGCCAGATTTACTCCAAGAAATGAAGCTCATAAAGCGCGTTTAGTCCTCAAGTCTGTCGCGCCACAAGCGTGGTCATCGTGATGGAGAGAAATACCATTGTGGGTTCTGCCCGAAGAGGTAGGCGGTCCACCTGTTGCAATGACAATTGAATTCTGATTTTTTCAGCTTCGTCCGGCAGCCCACACTGGAGAGACACCTCCAATCCCATGGTTCCAGAATGGGCAGTTCGGCGTTCAGAAACGAGTCAGAGGAGCCCTTTGTTGCTACCACCCACGATGCAAATCAACCAAGCAATCCTAAGCCACCACTACTTCGAGAAACGCGGACGATTTCAAACCGAGGCCTTGTAGCAGAGTCATCTCCGCTTGAGGGACGAAGTATTAACACCATTCCTCGAGAAGACACAGATGTGGAGGATCTTTTCAACCCTTATTCATCTAGGGGTTTGAGCAACCAGCTTGTCGAGAGCAGTCACCATACTCCCTATCCATGGCACAATCCCCCTTTTGCTAACACCGGCCTGCATGATAGGCCGCAAGGTGTACACATGCACAACCTGTGTAACAACGTCCATGAGGCAGAGCAGCCAGACGGGGTGGCTACAGAGTCCAGTCATTGTCAGCATGTTAGACAAGGTATGCAGGTCAATGGAGATTTCTTCATTGCTTCCAATACTACCCACGTCTTTCCGCAGAACCCGGATGGATCACAGATGCTCTTCCGTAGCTTCTCAAACACTACCGAAGTGTTTCCATTTACGACAGAGACACAAACAGCAGACGGGGAAAGTTGGAGTGGCCCTGTCATGCTTCATCCACCTACTACAAATCAGCCCATAAATTCAGCTTCCTACGATGACCTACAGACTTATATCGCATATGATATGAGTCGGCTCCAGATCGACCCGGGTGCTGGCCCGAGGGAGATGCTCGCAAATCCGGCTGACTTACCTGATTGGATGTACAAAGAGCCCGTTCAACCCTCACAAGATCCATTTGCCGAGTTCCCCAGGACGGACAGCTTAGGAGGAAATGTTGACATGCATAGCTGGAACTGTTCTTAGGTGCTGGTTGCCTGCGCTAGTCTGTGGCATTGAACTGCTTAGGATATACCGCAGCGATCCTCCAATCACCTAACCAGCAAGTATGCACGATCGGCCCATGCAAAATCAAGTCGATGCGTTCTGGCTTGGGGTAAAGAGGGTCCAAATAACAGCGTCTTATATTTTCACATATCCTCGGTACCTTACTCATGAAAATCGGCCATCAGAAGGGACGCTGTGGTGGATTTATCTTGTAGTGACCTCGTGTCCTAGACGAGACGAGTTGACGGCTGCAGCAATTTGCGGCAATACTTTTCGGTTGAACCACTCACGCTCAATGAGGCAGTTCGAGCCAGCAGGAGAGTCGGTATAGTGATCTCATTGATGGGAAGAGAGATCGTTTGGCATGGAGAGGCCCCTTTCGGTAGCATGGTATGGTACACGTATGAGCGTATGAGCGGGGCACACGGGGAGCAGTATCTCCGTTTCAAATGACGATGTAATGATCTTGAAAGGCACCGACTTGATAGAGAACAAGAATTGATGGATGCCGGAAACATTATTCACTGTATGACATGTCTCATTGGGTGCAACAAGAAGTGAGTAGATACACGTATCATGACTGTGTTGCAACAAGGTTTGGCCATCGTCGATCGGAGTGTGTTCACCCGAGCAGGGGAACCTGTTGAAGTTGCCTTGTCACCGTCGGTATATAGTGTCAATACTTACGAGTGAAGGTTACTCCGTACATTCGTTTGATCATGTCTTCGCAGTATTCGAGAAGCACAAGGGAATTCGTCGCGCACTGGAACGAGTCCCTGGTTGAATAGGCGCCAGCTGAGCACCGTGCTTTCAGGTACTACTAACTATACATCGGCTTGAGCAACAGAGGCTCTTACCTAGTTCTACTGCACTGCAAACTAAATTATGTGACGTACTCCGAGCCGTTACTTGTACTCAAAATGTGACTCGACCTCGCCACCAAGACGAAAGTGATTTTCGCCTGGACCCTTTCGCACCATTTCCTAAAGAAGCTTAGCTTGATGGCGTCGATATGGAATTCAGATCCGTGCTCTTCGGCCACAGTATGATCATCAACATTTGCAAACCACTTCCTTAAACGTTCTCTTACGGTCTACTGCTTCACTAATCTTCATCATGAATCTTATGTGACCCTATTTTTTGTATACCTGCATTCCTTTCCTCTTTGCAGCTTCGAGGGGGTCATAAACATGGCGTTCAGTCAAATGCCGGTATGCCTACTCCGTCGAAGATGATGATAGAAGCGGCTTTGAAACTGACCTATGCTACCTTAGACTGTGTCGGCTCTTACATCGGATCTATGGCCTTCGTTTTCCAACGCACTATCCGCCCCATGGAAAGAGATGCGGCGAGTGCGCCGAGGCGACATCAGCAGGAGGAATCCTTCGGAGGGCAAAAAGCATTTGCACGAGCGTAGCAATCCACGGGTGCAGCCTGTAAGCCTCATACATGAAGTCGCGGAAATTATGTCTGAACTTCCCCAGAAAAATTCTCGAATACCACTTCCGGAATGTCTCCAGTCTGTACCGATGAGTGCCCTTCGCTTGTGCCCTGCGGTATTGCCAACAACAAAACACTCTTCGTTGTGGAGTACGCCTCCAAAGTGGGTAGAGCACTATGGTGGTGGAACCAGAAAGAGTACTATGCTTCAAGGTGGCTATCGAAGAAGCCTATGGACTTCGGCGCAGGTTGATCGTGTTGCGCTCTCAGCCTCCGCAATCCCCAAGCCGGTTTCCGCTCCACCCTTTCTAGTGAGGACTTTTCTCCTCGGCCCTCCGTTGCGCGGGCCTAGGTCAGCACTCGCCCAGGAACGGTCGTATTCATCCTCGTCTCAGCTGGCGTCTCAAAGCATGCTTGCCCATGCTGAGCGCACAGCAAATAACAACCCAACAAGCGCCACTGCTCAAGCAGCCTTCTACTCGGCCCTGCTGCGCGCTAACATGGCCAAAATCATCGTTGAACGATATCAAACTGGTCGATATGCATCGAATTCTGTTGCAGATGCAATGTACCTCAAAGCTCTTCAGCAGGTTGGATCGGTACCTGTGCCAGGAAATAGCAGCCCTTCAACAAACATGTCCACTGAGCCGTCTGGAATCAGCGCTCACAAACTGCAAGCCGTTGGTCAAGCTGTTGCGGCTCAGTCAAAAAATGGGCAGGTTGGCGCAGTTACGGGTAAGAATACGTCTGGGACTGGAGCTAAAGAAGCACCGCTCTATGTTGTGGTTGAAGAGTCTACAGGAGCCATAGTGTTTCGCTGGGCCAAGATGCTAATCTATGCCGCGTTGTCCGTCTATGTTGCATTGGTCGTACTCACGCTCATTGTCGAGATGACTGGTTCTCTACGGACTCGGACAGCGCAGAACAATGAAGTACAACCACAGCATCAGACCGTAAGGTTTTCGGATATACACGGCTGCGACGACGCAAAGGACGAGCTTCAAGAACTGGTCGAATTCCTCATCAACCCCGAACGCTTCTCCAGCCTAGGTGGCAAGCTTCCTAAAGGAGTTCTTCTTGTTGGACCACCAGGGACAGGAAAGACTATGCTCGCTCGTGCGGTAGCAGGAGAAGCGGGTTGTCCTGTTTTCTACATGTCCGGTTCTGAATTTGACGAGATGTATGTTGGAGTGGGAGCAAAACGTGTTCGAGATTTATTTGCTCAAGCTCGTGCGAAGGCACCTGCCATCATATTTATAGACGAGTTGGATGCTGTTGGTGGGAAGAGGAACGAACGCGATCCAGCCTATGCTAAGCAAACCCTCAACCAGCTTCTGACTGAGCTCGATGGTTTCAGCCCAAGCACGGGCGTTATTCTAATTGCAGCCACCAACTACCCGCAAAGTCTTGACAAAGCTTTGACACGCCCTGGTCGTTTCGATCGACGGGTGCAGGTTCCGTTGCCAGACGTCCGAGGTCGGACTGACATTCTTAAACACCACATGAAGAAGGTTGCAGTTGCACCTGACGTTGATCCTACCGTTCTCGCTCGGGGCACAGTAGGCTTTTCCGGTGCAGACCTGGAGAATCTTGTGAACCAGGCAGCTGTCCACGCTTCCCGAAAGAGGTTGAAGAAAGTTGGGCCTCTGGATTTCGAATGGGCAAAGGACAAGATTATGATGGGAGCTGAGTCTCGTTCCAGGGTAATCCGTGATTTCGATAAAGTGAGCTTACATCCCAGTCGTATGCCCCACTACTTTTGGCGGCTTTACTGATACGTCCCTCAGGTCGTGACAGCATACCACGAAGCAGGCCACGCCCTCGTCAACCTCCTCACCCCAGGCTCAATGCAACTTCACAAAATGACCATCATCCCACGCGGCATGGCCTTGGGCGTAACCTCCAAACTGCCTGACATGGACGCCGTCAGCCGCAACTACAAACAATACATGGCCGACATCGACATGTGCATGGGTGGCCGTGCTGCCGAAGAACTAGTCTTCGGCGCCGACCGCGTCTCCTCCGGCATCTCCAACGACCTCTCCCAAGCAACCAGTCTCGCCTACGCCCTCGTCACCGAATACGGCTTTTCGGAGAAACTCGGTAGTTTAGACCTTCACACCAATTACGACAGCCTCTCCAGCCAGACGAAGCAGGACATCGAACAAGAAGTGCGCAGTATCGTCGAGGGTGCCAGGAGAAGAGCAGACGAGATCCTGAAGTCGAAGCGAAAAGAACTCGAGGCGCTCAAAGACGCGTTGATCGAGCACGAGACGCTGACCCGAGACGAGATCCTGCAGGTCATGAAGGGCGAGAAGTTGAACCGGATTGAGCCGGAGCTGCAGCAGGACGGAAGCAAGGAGGAGAAAACGGATGATGATGAGCAAGGACGAGGAGGACCGCCACAGCCAAAACAGAAAAAGGAGACGGGCAAGAAGGGCGGCGTCGGCATCAAATTGCCCGATGTCCTGTTACCGCCCGGTACGAGGAGGGAGGGAGATGGTACCTGAGTTTTTCCTCCCCCTTCCTCTTCGTGTCATTATCTTACCGTTGATTCCCACATGCCTTGGTTCTTGAGCGACATTTATCTCTTTTCGAAGGGGTCGGGGGGCTGGGGCATGGAATTACACCCCAACATTTCCATCCGCTCCAGTGCACTGCATCCTTTTTTGGGGGGCCATCCGCGAGGTTCAAAGGGCCCCAACGAGGAGGCTTCTCTGAGCTATAGCGCTTCTGAATGCATTGCGTCTCTGCATGCTAGATCTAACCGAGAATCGAGAAGCTAAGAACCGTTGCTTGACATTAAACCTCTGTTCTATCATGCACCCGTTTTCCGGTTAGGCACCCCCGTCTCCAGCTGTCTGCGCGGTAATTTACTCTAGTAGCAAGCCCTCTCGTAACTATAGACACGGGGCCAGCGCAACATGTAAATTACTGACTAGGAGGGCGGGAGATGTAAGGGGGGTTAAGAGCAAGCTTTCTGAGAGCGGGAATAGAGACGTGGTTGGAGTTGAATGAGTATTTGGCTATTTAGCTATTCGTACAGGGGGGTATTATCGCATTGACTGAGTGGGATTTTCTGCTGCCTTCTCCTCTACCCGTTTGTCGTTATCTCCCACCTCTGCGCCGGCTCTTCCATCCATTACATCCATACTCGTCGTACATTCACGCCATTCGTCAGGAACCATTGCACCCTGCACCCAATATCGGGGACGGCATTTTGATAGCTAACTCGAATCCTCCTTTTAGTCTTGCGCGTTCTCCTTTGTCTGGGTTCGCTTCGCTCTCTCGCGGGAAGAGACCGACCTTACACCCGCCCAGGTTGCTGACGATGAAAGTGATGAGTTCGCGCCAGGGTTCGGGATCTCTGCTCTCGAGGCGGCCGGGGAAGGATTGGATCAGGCGGATGGTTACGTAGGATGCTTCGGTTAAGGCGAAGTTTTCTGTGTGGAGGAGCATTGGGTTAGAAGAGGGAGTTGGGGGGAGAGTGAGAGAGGGAGATGAGGTAGGGAGTGCGATTAGCGGACAGAGAAATTTGATGGAAAGAGATAAGGGAGCGGCGTTGATATGGCTGAGAGAAAAGAGATGGGATGGGTGTGATAAGCTAGGAAATTGGTGAGGCGATAGGACAGATACATATACTTTAGTGCTTGTAGCGGATAGAAAAAAGTGACCAGGAACGAGGTGATGCAAGCCGGATATACCAAAGGCATATGTCCCAGCAGATGCAGTAGGATTTGGGCACCAGAACGTATGCACAATAGGGTTGATGGAAGATACTCACGCCCAGGACACACTCTTGGTCCACCACTGAAGGGCAAATACTCCCAACCCATCCTCAACCCTCTCTTTTCTTCCGTGTCGAGCCATCTTTCAGGCCTGAATATATCAGCGTCCTCGCCATATAAGTCCTTCCGTCGATGCATAGCATGAATGCCAAATAGGACGAACTGCCCTTTACGTACGAAGACCGGGCTCCTCCCGTCCTCACCACCTCCGACAGGTAGAGCTACGTCTTCTTTCGCCTTTCGTCCTCCTGCTGGGATGATAGGGTACAGCCTCTGACTCTCATTCAGTACGGCGCGCAGATACTTGAGATTTTTCAGCTCCTCGTAGTTGGGTTTGTTGCCATTGAGAGTGTCTATCTCATTGCGCAGCCGAGTCCAGATATCTGGTCGCTTCGAGAGCTCGAACCAGACGTTCGTCAGAAGACCAGCAGTAGTGTCTCTGGCTGCGAATAGGACGCTCAGCGACTCGTTACGGATTCTGACTTTGTCGGTCGTCTGTGAGACAAGTTCATGGACAAACACGTAGCGTGGTTTGGTGGTGGATGTGGAAAGACTCTCAAGTTGCTTGGATGAAAGGGACTTCTCCACCAACTTGTCAACGTAGTCTGGCATGTCGGTGTCAGGAACTTGCCATAAAGTCATACCATTACAAGAGGTTGTCCTCTCAACGATTGCTCAGCACTTACGGTGGATTGTACTGCAGTCTCGCCTGTACTGAGGATTCATGCGAATGCGATCAAGGAGATAGTTATATATCCAAAGTTTTCCATGCTCCCCTTCCCCTGCGTTCGCAAGATAGCGCGAAACACGATCCCAGACTTCGGTGAAGGCATGATTGCTTACTTTGTCTGCAGCCGAGTCTTCCTCGTCACTATTTTCTCCGAACAGAAATTCGATGGCTGTGGAGAGCGTGAGCTGGGAGAACAGCGTTGACAAATCGACTGTTGAACCGTCGCGCGGAATACCGTCAATAAGGGTGTTGACATGCTTCTCGAGCATGTCTAGGTCCGCAACCTGGGAGCGCGCAAAACTCGGTCTTATTAACTCGCGAGACTGATGCCACGCCTCTCCTTCATTCAAAAAGATGCCTCCGCGGAGTAACAGTTCGAGCTCCGATGGCGTGTTTGCAATCCCAAAAGCTCTGAAATTCTGCGAGAGGACGCTCTTTATGTTCTCACCCTCGCAGGTAAGGATGACATTTGCCGTAAGGAAGGCGAACTCCACGGTTTTGGCGCCGGATCCAAAGAACTTTTGTGATGTTTTCTCAAATAGGATATGCTGATCAGACCATCTCCACATGGCAAAGACCGCATCTAGGCCCAAGACAGGATCCCTATTCTTGACCTTCCTCGCCGGTCTGCAGCCATGCTTTTTGACAAACTGACGATGCCGTCGCCCTGTCGTCGACTGCCAATAAAGCCAGTAGCCAGCGATGCAGGCAGCACTGCAGTATGTCAACTGCAGGAGGGAGGGGGTTGCGAGTAGCAGCATTTCCAAAAACAACAGACACAAAAAGAACAAAGGAGCAAGGAAAGGTGATGCTACAGAGGAATCAAAGAAGTCTCCATCTCCAGGCTGCAGTCTTGGAAACTCGGGACGGCCCCGAAGGTCTCCTTCCCGCTAGCTTCTTTCGGCCTTAATCCCGCGCGAGCTCTCTTAATGAGTTCAGTGGAAAGCCTGAAGATAGGTGGCGAGATCAAAACTGTGTTGGAAGGTTGGACATGGTCTGCTTGCTAATGGACTCAGATAGTAATATATATGAATATGAAGTTTGAGTAGCGCGAGGATTCATCGCTGCAAGGGGCTGCCAACAGGCGATACCACCTGTGTAGAGGAAGTTGTCTTCGCGTGAGGAGAACCCGGTGGGGTCTTGCCGGGCGTCCTTGGTGGCGAAGAGGGAGCAACAGTCACCGACTGGTCTTCTTGCCCTGCGTATGCAGGGTGATGCTCAAAGATGAACGTACTACCAGGCAGTTCTTGGGCAACCGTTCGTGCTTTTGCACGGAAAGAGTCGACGTTGTGTTCGTATGCTGGGGGAGAGGAGGGCGAGATCCAGGCACTTCTGCCAGATCCAGGAGAATTTGGCAACGTGTGCGGGCTGGCGAGCTCAGCCGTGGCGGTTGCAGGTGATGCAATCACCATCTCTCCTTCACCACCTCCAAAGGTGGCGAGCGTCTGCGGCGCTTTTTGGGCCTTTCTGCGCCGCAGGTAAAAGAAGATCAGAGCGCCAATGACGCCAAGCCCAGCAACTCCTCCAACCGCGATGCCAGCAATAGCCCCGGTTCCCAGGCTCCTGGAGCCTTGGATGGCTCCGTCTGAAAGGTCATACTTCCTGGTAAAGACATGTTCTGTGATCACACTAAGACCGGCAACAGTGGATGTAGTCGCCGGAATGTGCGTAATGGTTGGCCTCGTGAAGCAGGGTGTCTGGCCTCCAAGATCTGTAAAGTATATTTGCCAGCCGCTAAAGCTCGTCAGCAGAAGCAAGATGATGCGATCAACAGGACTTACGAAGGACAGCATGCACTTGCAATCGTCGAATAATCTTGCGGACATCTGGTGAGGACGGCATTTTGATAGCTATCAAATGGACAGCATCCGTCCAAGTTGTGGGAGCAGCCAATTTGTGGAAATGCGGTAATCATGCCCGTTGAGCCGGTAGCCTGAGCAAAATAGGGTTGTGCGCAGGTGCCTGTGAGAAGAGGGCGCCCATTAAACGTCGCTGTGATAGGGTCATTGCCGATGAAAGAGGTCAAAGCGGATTCAACGGCACCAGATATCGTGGTCACTAAGGGGTTAGTGGTGGCGGTCGAGGTACTAAACGTAGTGGTCTGGGTGGTCAGGGTTGTTGTGTCATCTGATGGCACTGAAAAGCTGCTCACTCCTGGAGAACAGCCCACGAAATTTGGAGCTGATTCATTGACAGAATTACACGTGGCGATGTTGAATGCAATCGCCCCTGCCTACCATCAGAAGCCGTCTAAACTTAGAAGTTGATCATACTTACTGCCTTGGTCCGACGGTGCACACGACGTCGCCAAACAACAGGATAGCGCATTTACATAGGCCGAATTCGTACATAAACATTTGACGTCGATTCCAGTGCAATCGGTTTGAGCGTTGGTAGCATTGGCCAGGCATGTTTGCTGATCAAAGTCAGTGATATTCTTACAACCTGCTGAAGGCGTTTTGCTCACCGCGCATATTGGAACGTCTGTGATGTTCTGACCCAGCAGCAATTGGCATGATCCAAGCAATAGGGTAAGCAGAAAAGCCTTCATCTTCAGACACCTTGGGGTAGATAGGTAAGTCTCGAGGGAGCCAGCTGCTGGCTAGTAATTATGTGCAGGACACGAGGAAGCAGGGTTAGCAACAGATTCGAAATGGGATAACAAAGAGACTTCGCCATCATCGAGATCGCTCTGGGTGGAAACCTGGGCAAACATGCACGTCCGCTTCTGGAAGGGGAAGTATGTGACTGAGCGACTGAGCCACATTGCTGTCACGCGGGAAACAAAGGGGAATGCTGGGCAGAGGCGTGGCTTCATATTCATGCCAGCCCCAACAGTGGACAATGAGGACACGAGATATCTTTGATAGCAGCCAGCACCTCTGGGGTGGGTTATAATGTTAATACTCTGATGGTCAATAGCTGCTTTCCATCCCTCCGCCGTATCTGCGGATAGTTGAACGTGAACGTAGACGGTACAGTAGTAGTACTCTGTTGTCACAGTTGGCCGAATGAGCAGATCCATGAACAATGTCATTCTTCAGATCTGCAAGGGTGAAAATATTATGGAATGGAGATCAACCAAGCAACTTACGAAAGGACGAGGATGATTTGATCTTGGCTTGGCGGACTGTCAAATATTGGGTCGGCCTCAAAAAAACAGTTTCGGGGATGTTTGGAGTGCCTTTTTTAGGCACCCACCTGGGGCTCCAGGCACTCATCCGGGGCCTCGGGGCTTCTGTTGTACATATCTAGTCATCCTTCTGGGGCATCCTCTAGGGCTGGAGGGTACTGTTCTATGCACTCTTTGGGGGACTTCGTTTAGAGGATCAGTTACTTTCCGCTTGTTGATTAACTACTGTATACTTGTTAGTTACCTTACGCCTATTTCTGTAGTCCTTATCAATAAATGCATTTCAATAAATCCCTCCCATCATATCTACATCGGCTAAAGATCTAGCCTTCTACGACACTTGTACTTATACAGCTGTAACATGTAAGAGAAAATACCTACCCTCTGCGAAGGCGCTTGTGGTGTGAGGCTAAGGCAATATAATAATAGTCCGCCCTACCCGACGTCCTCTAAGTATGACTCCTGTTAAGCCAGTAGCTTAATACCAAAAAGAGACCTCTCAAAAATGAAGTGTTGTGTAAGTCTGATTGATTCTATCAGTGGCCTATTGCCAGTTAACCGATTGACCAGTGCTATGCTAACGTTGCTGGGGTGCTGGCAATAGGCCGGCAGAAGAGCCATCTCCAAGTGAGCCTGACAACTCCGCAGCAGAAGGCTGGAAAAAGAGAGCTGTCTCAAAATGAGCAGCGATAGAGTTTCTCCGAAGTCGCACAACACATATGTGCTTGTTACAGGCGCCAACAGGTATAAAGCCTTATAGAACAGACTTCAGTATCAGGCTAACAGCTGCGCTACAGTGGTCTGGGCCTCGCAACCTGCTGTCGTCTGATCGATGAATTCCTCGACTCTCGGCCACCGACTCATCAATTGACCCTAGTATTCACCACCCGAGACGACAGGAAAGGCAGCGCCACCCTCGCCGCCTTGAAGAAACATGAGTCCAACCACAAGACCATCCTACCCAGAGTTCGCATTTCGCATCCGCCCATCTTCTTCCGGTCGGAGAACCTCGAACTTACATCCCTCCTCTCCATCAGAGCCCTCACTCAGCGTCTACTGCGAAGTGCTATACCCAGACTCGATGCAATCATACTCAATGCCGGTGTAGGCGGCTTCGTCGGCATCAAATGGCCGCAGGCTTTCTGGACAGCTGGGACCGATCTAGTGGAAGCCACAACATGGCCGACGTTCAAACTCTCAGCGACGGGGCTAATCACGCCGCCTCAACTACCCTCCTCAACACGACCAGACCGCGAGGACGAAGAACCAGTCCTAGGTGAAATCTTCTGCGCCAACATCTTCGGCCACTACCTGCTCACACACTGGCTGATGCCCCTCCTCCGAGCCTGCCCGCATTCCCATCCAGCACGAATCATCTGGCTCTCATCCATCGAAGCGCAACCCCACCACTTCAACCCATCCGACATCCAAGCCCTCACATCCCGCAACGCCTACGAACACGCCAAGCGCATGACAGACCTCCTGGCCCTAACCTCCTCCACCGAAAATCGCGCAACCTCCAAATCGGTTCATTCCTTCCTTTCCCTCCCCTCCCCAACCGACAGACGCCTCACCAACAACCCCTGCCCCTCCAAACCAACCATCCACGTAGCCCACCCCGGCATCTGCGCCACCTCCATCGTTCCCCTCCCTTTCCTCCTCAACCTCCTCATGATCCTCGCGCCTTCTACGCTGCCCGCCTCCATACCGTCTCCGCCTACGTCGGTGCCGCCGCGCCCGTCTGGCTGGCGCTTGCACACCCGGAGGAGATAGCTGAGAAAGAGAAGGCCGGGCCCGCGAAATGGGGATCCGCGGTGACGAGGTGGGGAAGGGGCAGCGTGCAGAGGACGGATGTGTCAGGGTGGGGGTTGAGCGGGGATGGTGGGGTCGTGGAGTGGTGGCAGGCGGGGCCGGGCTGGCTTGGGGGATGGGGGAGGAAGCGGGGAGCTAGGGATGCGACGAGGGAGGATGTCGAGGGCTTTGTGGAGGAGGGGCAGCTGGTATGGAGGGAGTTGGAGGCGTTGAGGGAGGTGTGGGAGGGGAGGATTGAGGAATATGAGAGAAGTGAGAAGAAGGCAGAGTAGGAGAGATGGTGCTGCAAAAACCTCGAACTTAACGTCGACATAGATTATATGAGCCCTGGTTCAAAACCATTCCAGGCCAAAGGTACTTTTACGTTTAGCTTCCCGATTCGGTGACTTGCCCTTTCTCCCAGTACTTCCCGGTCGAGTATTGGATGTTCAATGCAGCTTACAGCCGCCTTACCAGAAAGAAATACCACAGCTATAGCCTCGCCCTCGCCCTCGCCCTCGCCCTCGCCCTCTCCCTCGCAGCCACCCTACCCTCCTCCCCATCCTTCCTCCAGTCGGCTGGTCAACTCCCCTCTCTTTTTCCATCCTCCTCCTCCTCCTCATCATCACCACCCCACCCCCTACTCATCTCGACCTCCTTATTCCACCTCCGATAC